TAGAGAACCCATCTTAAGACACACACCATGTACAAAAATGAACTCAACATGGATTAAAGACCTAAATGTGAAACCGAATATTATAAATACCATCAATGAAAAAACTAGGGACAACCTAGGGACTCTGATAACATTACATAAAAATACTATCGAACATAACAGCACATAAACACCAGAAGAGAAAATAGTTGCCTGTAATCTCCTAAAAATTAGATACTTAGATTTCACCAAAATGTTAAAAGAGAACCCACAGACTGGAAAAATTTTTTTGACAGTGACCTATCAGGTAATAACTACTCTCTAAAATGTATAAACATTTCAACACCTCAACAAGAAGACAAATAATCCTGTTTGAAAATGAGCAGAGGATATGAACAGACACTTCACTCAAGACAACATTCAAGTGGCTAGCAAACATATGAATAAATACTCAAGATCATTAGCCATTGTTGTTATTGTTAAAGTGATAGCGAATCAATGCAGACCCATAGCTACCCCGTATAGGATTTCCAAGGAGCAGCTGGTGAGCTTGAACTACTGATCTTGCAGTTCAGACAACTTTGCAGTCTGACACACTAGCCCGCAGTGCCACACCAGGACTCTTATTAGCCATTGCTACTGCTGTTAAATACCACTGAGTCGATTCTGGCCCATAGTGAACCTGTATAGGATTTTCAAAGCTGTAAATCTTTACCGGAGCAGAAAGCCTCATCTTTCTTTTGTGAAACAGCTGATAGTTTCAAACTGCTGACCTTGAGGTTCGCAGCTCAATTCGTAACCACTACGCTACCAGAGCTCCTAGATTGATGCAAATCAAAATGACAGTGACATATTTTCTTACCCCCCAATATTGATAACTAAGTTTGAAAAATCTTGGTAAGGGTTTGGAGAAACTGATCTTCCTACAGTGTTGCTGGGATTATAAAATAGTGCGACCATTGTGGAAAATGGTATATCACTGTCTTAAAACAGTTGTAGCGATACCCTATTTCCCAGTAGTCCTCTGCCTGGTATATATCCTCAAGAAATCATGTCATGTTCATTGCAGCACTATTCACAATAACAAAGCTGTGGAGACAACCTCAGTGTCCTTTTATAAGCAAAAGAATTGTTAAACTCTGGTATGTTCACACAATGGAATATTATACAACATTAAAGCATAATGATGCATCTGCATAACATGGATGAACTTGGAAGAAATTATGTTGAGTGAAATTAGTCACAAAAGTACAAATATCGCATGAGACAAGTATTGTAATAAGAAAAGTTTTTTTTTTTTTTGCTAAAAGAAACATTCTGTGATGTTTACCAGGAATGGGAAACGTGGGAAAGTTACTTACTATGTTAGATACATGTTACCATGGGTGATGGGGAAACCAATATATAGGAGAGAGGTTGGCACAGGAAAGATCAAAGCAGTGGAAGACACAAGAAGGAGTGCAAGAGTTAAAGTGAAAAGAGTTAAACACTGTTAACTGATGGTACATAGAAGGGATTGCAGTCATTGTAATGACCCAGTATCTGATATGTTGAATGTGGGACTGATCATCTCTAAATCTTCACTCAGTTTACATTTTAAAAAATTTCTTTTAAAAGATGTAAGATGAAGAATGATGCATATGGTGTTTTTCTTTCGTTAACAGCTCACTGGAAACATATCCATAATTGTTCATTAGAATGTGTAGTATGTAATGAAGCACTTTGTAATCAAACTAACTCCAAAGTTATAATTTTTGAATAGCTATAGTTAACTGACTTCATTTCCGGGAAGTGGTTTTACTTAGAAGATTATATATATGTTCATGCGAGCAAGAGAGACTATTTCCTGTAAGGAAACTGTGGTCTCCAGATCTTTATAATAATGTCATATCTAATCTTTCTGAACTCATAAACATTGTCCTAAACACACAGTTTACTTGAGATAGTTTCTTACGAGAAGTAAATGAATCTTCCTTATGAGCCTTTTAAAACTTCATAGACTGTCAATAATATGGAAAAACTGGATATTTAGTCAGGAATGTGACCATGTGTTTCAGGTAGAAAATTCTAAAGATAATGACGATGGTATTCTACAAAGAGAAATTCCTGCAAGACAGTCTCGACGAAGATTTCGGAAAATTAACTGTAAGGGTGAACGCCAAACCATCACTGATGATATAGACAACTATCTTTCTGTGAGTATACTTCGGAATATTTTGTGGATCACCTTAATATTTATATATTAATTAATGTATAATGATATACAATATATATATTATATATAATCTTTATATATTTATAATATCTTTCATTTATATATATATTTGACAATGTCAGCATGTTGGACTCTTTATGAAAAAGTTTGGGGCAGGTAAGTTTGCCTTTTGTATAACCTTTCTAAATACTTTTACTTAATTGAGTTGGTTAGAAATACTTTTACCAGTGAGAATTTTGTTTTTGCTTAAATAACATAATAAAAACTTCTTACCAAATTTTTTTAGACATATTTATGGAGTTTCTTTTTATTGCCTGAATAGAGTAGACTATAGTCCTGAGAACTTAGATACTAAACTACTAGGGACCTTTTATTCTGACATTCTGTGACATATGGGAAAGAAATAATTACTTAGTTGGTGTGTGGGAATAACAAATAGTTTGTGTTATTGTAGAGCATATGCAAGCATTAAAGGCATGTTTTCACAATAAAGAAAAGCAGATAAAACATTAATTTTGTAACAATGGGAAAAACATAAGTTGTTTCTTCAAAAATCATTAATTTGATAATTGTAGATAACTTCTTTTTAGGCTGAAAAATATGTGAATTGAGAAAAATGAGGGTAACCTAAAATAAATTCATGTGTATTTTTCTGGGGAGAGGTTATCTGCTTCAAAGAATTACTGTAAACATTTTGCACAACATTTCAAAGGATCCCTCAAAATATATAAATAGTATAAATGTTTTCTTCTTTGACTACATGTGTTTAAATAATAAAAATGTCTTCTGTTTAAAACAGCAGCATCAGATTGTGGAAATTTAAAACAAGAGGACAAATCAGTAGTAAAATAAGTTCAGTATTAAGGGTAGAAGGATCATTAATTACAGGAAGAGCTTCCTTGTTGTTAAGTACCATCTAGTCGGTACCGACTCATAGTCACCTTGTGCACAGCAGAATGAAACACTGCCCAGTCCTGGGCCAACCTCACTACTGTTGCCACGATTGAGTCCATCAATGCTGCCACTTGGCCAATCCATCTCATTGGGAGGTCTTCCTCTTTATCTCTGACTCTCCACCTTACCAAACATGATAATCCTTCTCCAGCGACTGGTCCCTCCTGACAATATATCCGAAGTATGAGAGACGAAGTTTGGCCAGCCTGGCTTCCAAGGAGCATTCTGGCCGTACTTCTTCCAAAATGCATCTATTGGTTCTTTTTGGCAGCCCATGGCACTTTCCCTAGGGCACATTTAGTTGTTTCAGGTTCCTGAAACAAAAATTCAATCATTCTTTACTGGGAATTAGGAAGATTATTTAGGTTATTGGTTGCGCTAGAGTAGTGTTAGATTTATGTGTTTAGTCAGGAAACAGGCCTGAGGATCTGCTTCTGAAAATCAGCCAATTCAAACTGTATGGATTACATACAGTACATTTCTGTGAGCAAAGCTGATTTGCTGGCAACTAAAGTGTGGCGCTATATGATAAGCACTCAACCACTAGGTCTTTTGAACCACAAAGTTGGCAGTTCTTTTATCGGAAACTCCACACAGGGTTGATTCAAGTTGGAACTGACTTGGCGGCACTTAACAACAACAACTAAAAAAAAAGATAGCCTCATGTGTATGCAAATGTTGGACAGTGAATAAGGAAGACCTAGAAGTATTGATGCGTTTGAATTATGGTGTTGAGGAAGAATATTGAAAATACCATGGACTGCCAACAGAAGAAACAAATCTGTGTTAGGAGAAATGCAACCAGAATGCTCCTTAGAAGCCAGGATGGTGAGGCACCATCTCTCATGTTTCAGACGTATTGTCAGGAGGGACCAGTCTCTGGAGAAGGATAGTATGCTAGATAAAGTGGAAGGTCAGTGAAAAAGAGGAAGATTCCCCCCCCAGCAAGATGGATGGGCACAGGGGTCAGCAACAATGACCTCAAGATTGGTAATGATTGTGAGGATGGCACAGGAGTAGGCAGTGTTTCAGTGTGTTGTGTGTGGGGTCGTTATGGGTCGTAATCGACTCAGTGGCACAGCAAGAAATAAGGATTTACGCCCATTTTGTCTTTAATATTATTGATTCAGCACATTCTGTTTCTGATAATAACAAACAATAGCATGAAATAATCCCAAAATTTTTACAACAGTGTACCTCCATACAAGGAGTCCTGCTGTGGTGTTGTAAGATAAGCACTGGACTTCTAACCAGAAAGCTGGTGGTTCAGACTCACCAAGCCACTCCTTGGAAAGCCTATATGGGGTCACTATGAGTTAGAACCTACTTGGCAGTATCTACTATCAACAATAGCAGCCAAATGAAGTTCATTTCCAATTCTTAATATATAACTCTTTTTTCATGTAATAATGTTTTCCTGTCATTAAGGAGCTCAGGTAGCGTAGTGGTTACGAATTGGGCTGCGAACCACAAGGTCAACAGTTCGAAACTACCAGCTGCTCCGCAGGAGAAAGATATGAGGCTTTCTGCTTCCGTAAAGATTTACAGCCTCGGAAACCCTGTTCAGGGTCGCTATGGGTTGGAACCGACTTGCTTAACAACAATTAATTTAAACTGGCTTGCTTTGGTACGCTTAAGTTGTTAAGGGCTGTAGTGTCAGTTCCGACTCATAATGACCCTGTATAGGGTTTCCAGGGAGCGCCTGGTGGGTTTGAACCACCGACCTTATGGTTAGCAGTGTAGTGCTTATCCCACAGAGCTACATAAGGGCTATAGTAATGTCAGTTTTGAAAATCGGAAACTAATTATTCCCAACACTTGATGACATTTTGTATATCATTGAAGAAAGCTTTTGTCAAGATATATGTAGATCAGTACACAAGATTTTACTAAAATGAATGCATATATTATTAGTCTTGTTACTTTAAAATTTTTATGCAGTCTGAACTTTTTTTTTTAATGCTGTTAAATGTTCTTTTACAATATTCTTTTTTATTTTTACAATATTCTTAATAGTGTTTTTGAGTCTGTCTATTCAGAACTACTACCCTGTGTAGGATTTCTGAGCAACAACTGGTGGATTTAATAAACAGTATTCAACTAATAATATTATACCACAATTTTTTTTACCTAGTTCCTACTGTTTCATTGTTTCTAGCCTTTCATTATGATTTTCATAAATTTTGTGTAAAATTATTGTTGTTGTTGTGATGTACCATGGAGTTGGTTCCGACTCATAGCGACCCTGTACAGGGTTTCTGAGGCTGTAAATCTTTACGGGAGCAGAAAGCCTCATCTTTATCCCGTGGAACAGCTGGTAATTTCAAACTGCTGACCATGAGGTTAGCAGCCCAATTCGTAACCACAACTGTACCAGAGGTCCTTTTGTGTAAAATAGGTTTGTGGTTATAACTGCTTATATATTGATTTGTTAAAAAAAAAAATTCAAGAAATTGCTAAATTAAAGTATCTTTACTTATACTTTTAGCTTCTGCTTGGATGAGCTAAAGAATGCATATTTTATACGAATTTTTCCCAATTTTCTTTGGCGTGATGACTAGAAGCCTAGACAGAATATTCATTTTCTCTTGGTAACTTTGAATTTTTGCTGATTACTTTACTTTTTAAAGTCCTGGGGTGGAACAAGCCAGTTGCTTGACCAGGAGACATCAAGGCAAGTGGTTGGGTCCCCTCAGAGCAAACCCCCTTCTAAGACTAAGACTCAGTGAGAATACACGCTCTAATTGGTGACCATGTTCATCACTGATAAGGGGAAGTGAGAGAAAAACAGCAATGAAGCTGCAGGCTAACCTCTACAATGTTCAACAGACTCCTCTGAACCCAGGTGGAGACCTGGTTGGCCAGCAGTGTGGCAAGACCTGGGTACTCTTGGGCCCAGAGTCAGTGACAAAGCCACAGAGGACTAGAGTGGAGAGTGAAGCTTCCAGCTGATAAGAAGAGAGGACATATGCACAAGAACACCCACACTTGCAGATAATACCCATTTGACCTGGCTTCAATGACCGGATGATCAGAGCTCAACTAGAAGAAGAAAGAAGAGGAAAAAAAGAGTAATCTGATACCATTTGATGAACTTGACCTACACCTATAGATGCAGTAGCTCAAAAGAGGGAACAATCCTTTACAGCAAGGATCATTCCCACCCCTCCATATGCAGAGTAGACAAGGATGGGCAACTTAGACATTGACTACCCAAAATTGGGGACTATAAAGGCAAGAAGTGACTGGTTTACAAGCTCTGGGAACCTAGATCCAGAGAGCATGAAGGAAGGTAGAATCTCTATGAGTGGTATCCAATCTGTCTGGGCAGGGCTGATGAAAGGAGATGCAGTAGGTCTCTTGTGATACAATAGTGAATAATTGTTATCAGGACTGATTGTGAGGATTGGAAATGTAAAGGTAGACGTTTTGTAGCAATAGGAGTGGAGTGATTGACTTTTCAGTCTAGGAGCGGAGGTCCCTGGGACCATCAAGGGAGAAGAGTGGAGAGTTGGACCCTACCCAAAGAAGCAGTGATGCCAGAGATGGAGGTAGAGATGATGACGTGGAGAGATGGAGTGGCTGGGGATTTTAGACCCAGAGAAGGAAAGGGGCTGTGTGCTGATGACTGGGGTCAGGCTTGCAGGGTATACCCTTTGGTTGGTTGATGATGCATGGAGGGGATTGTAACC